ATATATATATATATATATATATATATATATATAAGTTGCTTAAATATATATATTTTTATATATATATATATATATAAGTTGCTTAAATATATATATTTTTATATATTATTTTAAATTATGAACCTTCTTTCACTATATTTTTAAACAAAATAATAATTTTGAAAGTTGTTTTATTAATGTCACTATATTAGTCCTTAATATCATAGTTAATACTATATCAGTAGCATTACATCAGTTTTTATTAAAACCTTAATTTTACAAGAAATTAAAAATAGCAAACTAACTTTAAGAAATATCTATAAAAAATGTCAACTTAAATTTTAATCTCCATTCTCCAATGGTCAATATTTTTTTCTAATTGCATGAGCAGTTAGGTAATATTGCAATTTATATATAGAAAAAGTTTTAATAATTTTTTAACCAAAACACTCAAATTGCTTTACAACCTCTTTAAGAAGCACTTTGTATAACATCAAGCAGCTTTCTAAGTTTTGTCAGACAAATGTGGCCCTTAAAGGAATAAAGAAGCATGAAAAGTGGCTTACCATTAATATGTTGCGGTTCAATCTCAAATTCAATTTTTGGTCTGATCTCTTGACAGTTGTGTGTAGAATTATTGCTGTTGTCCTCGTATTTAGTTACATATGGTAGACCTAACGTACTAGAACAACGTGCCAAGTATTCAGAAGTGAGTCTAAAATCGATCTGTAGAGGATCTGTCATTGTCGCAGCATCCACTTTCTGTACAGTCTGAGTGCTGGACGATTGCTGCGAGATCTGCGAGCAGATCTCTTTAGTGCCACACAAGTTATTCTCATTTCTATTCTCATCAGTTTGCTGAAAATGCTGTGGTGGATGGCCAGAATACGCGTATCCGGTCATGTTGGGCCTAGTGTGCTGATTGGCGTGAGTATTTGGCGAATACTTTATGTTACGTGGGTCGTAAGCCATTATATTGCTAACAGCTGTTGAATGACCACTGATCCGGGAATTTCCAACTTCAATGATACATGCGCCTGTGATACCTGAGAGATCTACAGCTCGTCCTTGAAAGAAGGAAAGGAAGATCAGACAGGGAATTATCCTTGTTACAACGTACATGTGAAGCATCGTGAAGGTGTCTCTTACGGTACGACAGGTATCATCGAAGAAAAAGTAATCACCGCTGTTATCCGCTGCGCTGTACTTCTTGCTACGTTCATCTCGCCGTTTTCCTCACGAAGCGGACGTAACGGCATCGACGAATCGTCAACGAGCGGCTGCCGTAATCGGATGGTTTCTTATCTGCGATCACGCTACATGACGGAAAGGAGACGAACAATTTGATGCACTCGGCGAATCTGCGTAAAAGAAGAAGACACACGCACACATACACCACGGCATGCAAATCCCTCAGATTACCTTCGCGATACGTCGGAAACCATGAATTCAGCGCTCTCACCTTCATGCTAATCGCGCGACAGCAAATGCTCCGTCGTATCCTCACTTTGTATCGTTTACATCGGTGCTAGCGGCCATTTTTACACATCAGCTGCTGCGCGTTGTGCACGAAGCGGGCAACCGACGAAATGCCACTACCGTCACGCCGTGTTTTCGTAAGTACGGCACCATTTGAAACTCGACTCCTCGTCGTTCGCATCCTTGCACGCAAAATCAAGCTAAAACCCGTATCAGATTAGGGATCGAAGATTGAGAATTGCGGATTGAAGATTAGATTTTGATAAATTAACAAACTTTGATCTTAGCTTGCTTTGTTCTAATTAGAGCCGAACATTCCAATTTTTTGAAAAGCTACCTGACAGTTAAATCATATCCCAGACGGCACAAATGTCCAAAATCGAGTCATAAGACGTCTTTAAAACATCTTTAAAACAAGTTTATAAAGTATTGTTTTAAAGATGTCTTAAAGATGTTTTAAAGACGTCTTATGACCCGATTTTGGATATTGTGCTGTCTGGAATGTCTGTCTTCGTTTTTCTTCAAATTAGACAGACACATGATTTAACTGTCAGACAACTTATCAAGCGTGCGTTCGAAAACTCTATCCGGGTGCACTCGCTGCGTTGGAGTGAGAAAGATACAGGAGTGAGATAAAGAGAGAAGAGAAGCACCCAAATGGAGTTTTCGAACGCGCCTCAAGAAGTTAGAACAATCGGTCCCCAATCTTCAATTCGTAATCTACAGTCTTCAATCCAGTCTGATCGGATCGTATTTACATCTTTTTAACATTCTGGTATCCGCTTCCTCAGCCCAAATAGCACAAAATCTTCAGAGAATGTTCTAGAATGTTCTTAAGATGTTCTTAGGATATATGAATATCATTAGAATGTCTTTAAAACGTCCTTTGAAGATTTATACTGTATGAGAGTACATCTCCTATAAAAAAATGGATAAATTTACCAATAGTGATCTAAACAAACAAATGTTTGATTGCTTTGTTTAAATAAAAATAAATCTGATATTTCTTGGGTTACTGTATTATTTCGTTTCATACGTTTGTTTCTTCGTTTTGATCCCATTGCGGCAATTCTAACAGCAGTGCTATTTCTGTTCTGACCGTGTTCTTTCCCAGACAGCACAATGTCCAAAAATGGGACATAGGACGTCTCTAAGACATCTTTAAAACAACTTAAAGACGTCTTATGTCCTGACGTCTTAACCCTAGGTGTACATATTTATTTTTTGCATACGTAGATGATACACTGGAGTCCGAAAAACCCCAGCTACTTTTTTTATTATAACTTTGGTAAAAATCACCGTATTTTGACTTTTTTTCCTCGATTGTTAATAGACTGATAAACACATATATTTATTAAGAATTAGAATTAAATCATAATAAGCATCACATAATAAAAACGTGTTGAAACATTAGAATTACTCATAAATGCAAAGGAAACGTTATTTTACCGTAATAGCTTGAAAAATGCATATCTTTTTTGGTAATAGAGATAATCGAAAAAGGTTTTCAGATTTTGAAATTGCACATTTCAAGGTAAAAAAATCAAGAAAACAAGAAACAAGAAAACAAAACAAAGAAAAAAACTCATTGCTTAAATATTGGAATATTATCATGAAAATTACAAAGCTCCAATTGACGATTTTTCATATTTCTATTTTCTGGCGGTTTTGCAGACAGGTATAAGAGTTAGTATTTTGGTTATAAAATAAACTCAATAACTTGTAACGCATGTAACAGAAATAGAAAAAAAAAAAAACGTCAATAATTTAAAAGCGACAAATAATATTCACCTAACATGGCAGTATCGTTTTGGGGGTTTAGTCCGTGTGTTTCTGTCTCTCAATAAAAATTAGTTCTTTTTTTTTACATTACTTATTTAATCTAACATTTTTAGAATATATATTTACACTATGAACTCGAATAAAATTAATTACAAAATATACTTATTTGCAAAAAACATTGCACAAAGTACACACTGAGATCTGGGAGACCCCAGGCTTACTTTACGTGTGAATTATCACAAAACCGATAGACAATTGACTGCTCCGACAGTTGCTATCTACAGAGGAGACTTCAAAATTTTTTTACACGGCAGTCGTATCCTCCTTACTTATTCTCTCTAATACTAGAGTTTCAAACTTTGCCTGGGATCTCGGAGACTCTAGTGCGTATATCTAGAGTTAAAGACATCTTTAAGCTGTTTGGATTGTTGCTTCTATATATTCTAATTCTTAATAAATATATGTGTCTATCAGATTGTTGCCTCGATGATCGAAGAAGAACTTTGAATGCAAATGAACTCTGACGATATCTTAATTTATAGATCTTGCTATAAAATATATTCTTATCACTCAAAAAATTTTGCAATGATATATTTGCTGGCAAATGTTGGAATAACGCAACAAATATGAGTTAAATTCATCTTAAAATTTTTCACAATTATGTAAAAAATTTCACAAATTATGTAAAACATATATGGTGCTATTCAAAAAATTCAAGATGACCTTGATTTTTTTATGAAAAAAAGCTGCACGAAGCAGTTGAAAATTCATTTTACAACCTTTTCCTTAAACCGTCGGAAGTGTTTAAAAAATCATGCAGACCGTTATGTTGAATATCTTGTATATAAATAAAGTGATTTTATGTCACGAAAATTGCAATAATATTGCGGCAATATTCTGATGCCGTAAAAATTACTGCTTCTTTTGTCGGAAAAAAAACACAACCCTCATAGCACAAGATTTTGAAGGGATATCTTGAGGACTTGTATGGACATTTAGAAATCGTCGGAATATTTTTAGGATATTTTGAGAACTTATGCGGACATTTAGCAATCCTTTGGATGTCTTTAGGACATCTAAATTTTATGTCGGCAATTAACACTCCTATGTCGGCAATAAGACTCCCCAGATAGCATAGAGAATTTAAAAAGAATTCAATCATATGTCACCAATTATGAGTTTATTTTCAGATGCGAAAAGAATTCTTCAGAGTTTAGTTCAGTGAAAAGAATTCTTTGCACCTGAAAATAAACTCAGAATTGGTGACATATGATTGAATTCTTTTTGAATTCTCTGTGCTATTTGGGTCTCGGCCCCTCGCATTATTATCTCTTTTTTAATGACGTCAGAAGCGAGAAAATGCATGCTAAAAATTCTTGCAAAATAAAATAAAAATATATATTCATAAAGTAACACTTGCAATCGATTAAACAAATTTGTAAAATATTCCGTGCACTCCCTTTTTGCTCTAACAATCAATAATTTGTCGTAAATTAACGTAACATACAATTCATCTTCTTAATCTATTTTTTCGCCTTTTTCTATTTAGGTTAATTTACAATAAATTATTGACTATTAGAGCAAAAGGGGAATATGGAATATCTTTAAAAATTGGTTTAATTGATTGCAAATTTTATTTTATGGATATATATTTTTATTTCAATGTATTTCGCAAGAATTTTTAGCACACATTTTCTCGCTTCATTAACGTCATTAAAAAGAGATAAACAATACGAGGGACCAGGAGCCTTAATCCAGAATTATTGTAAAAGTGAAAATTAAATATTTTGATTAAAATTATAGTTTAATACATACGTATTTTTTAAAATAAATATCACGTTTTCAACATATTGTGCTATTACAATAGCATTATTAAGTATACATTAAATATTTTGCATGATATATGTGCTCGGCATATCTGTTGATCTGGGAAGATGGTAACGTAAATATTATTGTGTAGAAATTGAGTGACTGATTCGAAAAAAATTAGAAATTTTTGAAAAAGAGGATATATAAACATTTTTTATAAATATCAAGATAAAAATATGGTAATACGTTCGTGTAATATGGAACTCGTTTGTTCATTTACCGGACGTGATCAATAGAAGCACAATAATAAATAAGCAAATAATTTATACCAAAACCGAAAAACATATGTAACTCTAAAAGAATTGATTTCTCGATCTATGTTTACTAACATTTTTTACTCAATATAATGAATACTATCTATTCTAAGTTTCCAACTATTTTTAACTATTTTTAACCTTTTTCTATATAATTATACAGAACCCAGTAAACACAAAGTATCATCGATGTTACAATGTCAGCTCAATTATATGATATATTACGTAACTGTTACTTTGTTATGTAACAAATACATAATATACCATATGATTGAGCTGACATTGTAATATGGATGATACTTTGTGTTTACTGGGAATAGTTCGTATAACTATTTACAGCTCGATATTTCAAAAATTACGAAAAATATAGAAAAGTGTTTCCAACAAAAATTATAGGATACTGAAAGAGAAAAAAGATAGTAATATTTATTTGACATTGGAACGATCTTAAAAAGCCCTCCTCTGTCCAGATAAATTTAAATTTTTTAAATGGCATCATATGATTTTTTTTCGGCATAAACCGATTTCTCTAGTCATTCTGCGTACAAAATTATTAGATAAAATCATCGAATTGGGGTAAAATCATCGAAAAGTAAATACTTTCTACGTTATTTTACATTTTATCCTGTTACTTCTCAATAAAAGATGAAATATCTTTTGAATTAATCAAATTTCGACTATTTCATTTTAATTACATTTTTATACGTAGAATAACCAGTAAAATCAATTGTTGTAAAAAAACATATGGAAGCTTTAGATAAAATTCCGTGCAAACTTATTTATACTAGTACTAGTTCTTACAAACTTATTTATAGTAGTATGTAAAGATTATCATATATGTGTATCATCAGTATGTTAAGATCATCAATTTTTAAAAAATTTTTAAAAATTATTTGAATTTCTCTCGTTATTCAAAAAACATACAAAAGTATCGAGGTGAGATGGTAAAAAATGAACAGTTTGAATGAGATATTTCATATTTTGTATTAAAAAATGTAGAACAAAATGTAAAATATCCCGGGAAGCAGTCACTTTTCGATAATTTTATTTTAGTTTTGTACGTAGAATGACTAAAGGAATCGATTTATATCAGAAAAACCATATGATTTCATTAAAAAAAAAATTAAAGTTGATCTTGACAAAGATTTTCAACGTTATTCTAAGGTCAAATAAATATTACTATCTTTTTTCTCTTCAGACAACAAAATCTTCAGAGAATGTTCTGAAACGTTCTTAGAATGTATCAATGTTCTTAGAATATCCTTAAAACGTTCTTTAAAGATTTATGTTTATGAGTCTTGATATCCTACAATTTTTATTGGAAATTTTTATTTTTCTATATCTTTCTTAATTCCTGAGATATTAAGCTGTATGTCGAATACCTTGTATATAATTTATATATTGTTTCATTCTAGAAGCAAAAAGTTCAACTAAAAAGAAAAGACCTCTTGCAATCGCAATGGAAGTATAAGTAATTTAATTGTCTAGGTATAGCTTCCGGAATGGAGCCGTGTCTTGAATCAGCGATATGCCGACGTTTCGCAAACGTTGCAGTTTGCATCATCAGGGCTGAGAACTCTGATACTGAGCTCCCTTGCGTAAAGGTAGTCCTTATATGCCCCCCTCCCCCCTTTGTGTAGATGGTGTTTAGGGAGTAGGGGACGAGGCTTAAATCCAGCCAATCAGCGTATTTTAATTGATCAGCTGGTCAATTAAAAAACCGGGAGAGCAGTATACCAAATAGAGTTTACTTGCATGCCTTTGTCTCGGTTGAGGTTGTTGGGATGTTTCAAAATTTCTAGACCTTCACGATGTTTTCTGGCAAAATAACTCTGTGAGGGAGCCAATCTGGTGGCTTTTTCATATTGTACGGAGTGTCCAGTCTCCATCCAGTGTTCAGCTAGGGCTGATTGAGTAAAGTGACCATACTTGGTACATCGCTGGTGTTCCTTGATTCGCGTACTGATCTTCCTCCCGGTTTCTCCTATATAAACTTTACCACAAGAGCAAGGGATCTTATATACACCTGATGTTTCTAGGCATAATTTCTGATCCTTCGGATTTGGGAGTAAATGGGAATTACTTTGATTTTATGTTTACCCAAAATCCTGCTGATAGGTTCTGTCTTAGCCACCAAAAAGAACTTGGCTGAGATATCCTAAAAACTATTAAAATTACATCTCTCTTTTGCAAAATCGTTGGAGCCTGAGCTGTGGCTGACACTGGATCGAGTTACTCACGAACAAGCTGTTCACTCAGCTGAGGCAAGAACACAAAAACAGAAGAGCAAGTATGATAAGATCAATCCACAGACTCAAATGCCAGTTCTCACACATACAGTTAAGAATCTTAGCGATCAAGACCTATCACCATCCGAAGTCGCTGTTCTAGCTAAGGGACACAATTTTGATGTCACTCCCTCTAGTATCCCTACGGAAGAAATCATCAGCCAAATTGAAACGGCTATTTTCCACCTTCCTTTAGAGGCAAGCAATGACATCAGAAATCGAACAACCAACATCCTACGCAAAGCCAAACTTCCCAAACAAAATATAAACAAAGAAGAACGCCGAGCTCTCCACGGTCTGAAACAAAACAACAAGATCCTAATTTTACCAGCAGACAAAGGGAACGCTACTGTAGTTATGAACAGGGAAGACTATTGCAGTAAAATCAACAGTTTACTCTCAGACCAAAAAGTCTACAGGAAACTCAAACGCAACCCAACATCCAGCATAGAGAAGAAAACATCTTCTCTTCTGAAAAATGCAGGTCTCCCTCTTCAAACTATCAAGTATTTAACCCCTCAAGATTCTTCAGCACCTAGACTCTACGGTCTTCCAAAAATCCACAAGGAATCAGTGCCCTTACGCCCCATTGTCAGCAATATTGGGGGACCTACCTACCAGTTAGCCCGCTATCTCACCAAACCCCTCCAGAAACTTACTGGTCTCAATGATTCCCATATCAAGAATTCAACAGATTTCGTGAATAAGATCACAAAAATCAAGATGAATACTAATGATATCCTGGTGAGTTTTGATGTAGTCTCACTGTTTACCAATGTTCCAGTCCAGGATACTTTGAACATCATCAAGAATTCCGAGGAAATTCCTGCCAACCTCTTCCCACTAATAGAACACTGCTTAACTTCAACCTATTTTCAGTTCCAAGGAGAGTTTTTCGAACAAACCTCTGGAGCGGCGATGGGATCTCCTATATCTCCTATCATTGCAAACATCTTTATGGAACACTTTGAGAATAAAGTTTTGAGGAACGCACCACTGAAACCATCCACATGGTTTCGGTATGTGGACGATACTTTCGTAATTTGGAATCATGGCAGGGAAACTCTTTCTCAGTTTCTCGGGTTTCTCAATTCACAACATCCCAGTATTCAGTTCACAATGGAAGTGGAACAAAATAATCAAATACCCTTCCTGGATGTGCTAGTCCAAAAGAACCAAGATGGCACCTTAGGTCACCAGGTCTACCGAAAACCAACACACACGGACCGATATCTACATGCAACCTCTCATCATCATCCCTCGCAAAAGAATTCTGTCATAAGTTCATTGGTTTACAGAGCGCTCACAATTTCGGAACCATCTTCTCTGAATGGAGAACTAGAACACCTCAGTACAGCCTTAACTAAAAATGGATACAACAGCAAAAACATCTCGCAAATAATAAAAAACCAGAAGAACAGAATTGTCAGTCCTAAAAACACTGACACACTAGATGAAGAGAGAGAAAAGAGAAAAACGGCTGTCCTTCCATATCTCCAGGGCATAACAGAACCTATCAGCAGGATTTTGGGTAAACACAAAATCAAAGTAATCTTCAAACCTCATAGGAAGCTCTCCCATTTACTCCCAAATCCGAAGGATCAGAAATCATGCCTAGAAACATCAGGTGTATATAAGATCCCTTGCTCTTGTGGTAAAGTTTATATAGGAGAAACCGGGAGGAAGATCAGTACGCGAATCAAGGAACACCAGCGATGTACCAAGTATGTACAACGATCTCAATCAGCCCTAGCTGAACACTGGATGGAGACTGGACACTCCGTACAATATGAAAAAGCCACCAGATTGGCTCCCTCACAGAGTTATTTTGCCAGAAAACATCGTGAAGGTCTAGAAATTTTGAAACATCCCAACAACCTCAACCGAGACAAAGGTATGCAAGTAAACTCTATTTGGCATACTGCCCTCCCGGTTTTTTAATTGACCAGCTGATCAATTAAAATACGCTGATTGGCTGGATTCAAGCCTCGTCCCCTACTTCCTAAACACCATCTACACAAAGGAGGGGAGGGGGGCATATAACGATTACCTTTACCCAAGGGAGCTCAGTATCAGAGTTCTCAGCCCTGATGATGCAAACTGCAACGTTTGCGAAACGTCGGCATATCGCTGATTCAAGACACGACTCCATTCCGGAAGCTATACCTAGACATTGTATCAATGGCCGTGAAAGCCTCAAATCAAGTAATTTAATTGTTGGATAAATATTCTTTTTCATATTTTATTTGTTCGCTTATTTTACACTGATATACATCATTGTTATATGATTAATAACATTATAATTTATACATATGACGATTTATACACGCCTCGCTTGCCTTACTTATGTAATTCCAATCATATTCGAATTTTCTGATTGAACAAGCTAGAAATCTCGAGCAATTTCAATAAATATATAGTGAAAAGAAAATCATTTAAACATCGTTTTATACGTAACTCTGTTACACTGAGCAATCTATAGTAAAAACGAAGTAAAAATATTCTAAATTTTATTCTTTCGGCTTTTTTTATCAATTTTATTCTTTTTTACATGTAAAGCTCTATCACATCTATGTGCTGTATTTGTACGATGATATTACGAATTGTTATTCACTGTATTCGGTTTATTCATCGGAAGCGAAGTCGGTCCCCTCACGGAGACCTTAGCGAGAGAATTCTCCATTCTACTGATCAACTTCTGAAAAGTGTTCCTCTTAGACGTGCCATTAGCTTCGGTCGAGTCATCGAACTCCTCGCTGTCATCTGTGTTTCGTCTGTTCGTTTCGGCGAGACACGCGGGCTCTCCCGATCGCCGATTCCTGTTTACGGTAAACCGATTCCACGACTTTGTGTCGAAACTGATCATTGACTTGCTGTCCTCGCTATCCCTTTTTTCGTTAGTGTCTCTTTGTCGTACCTTAAAGTTAACACTTAACGCGATGTCGTCGTACAAGTCTTCGTTCTGATACTCCGGAGCGTCACGAATACACAAGTCGCTCCTTGGTGACTGATAGTGCTCAATCTCCTCTTCGGGAAGTTCCCCGTTCGTTCTCAGCTCCGTCGCATCGTTTTTGGCTTCCTTCACGCTCGCGCACGATTCCTGCGTCGATTGTAAGATCGTTTGCTGTCGAGAGAGAATTCTAATTAATTGAAACGCTAATGATTATATTAAAGGAATGCCAAAGTGGATGATGAACTCGAAGAATGTCGATAATATAGAGAAAATAGTCACTAACATCACGTTATTTTTTTCGTATTCCTTGTATGTACTCAGACAGCATAAAATCTTCAAGAGATATCCTGAGGACTTATGCGGACATTTAGAAGTTCTCAAGATTTGGGATATCCTGAAGGCTTATGTAGACATATGGAAGTTCTCAGGATGTCTTTGGGATGTCTTTGAAAGATTGTGCTGTCTAGGTATAAACATGTGTTGCTTTGTTTTTTATATATTTAATAAAAAATCTAATTATACATATATAAGCAACTTTCTGCAAACTTCTCATATATTTCTAAGCTTTTCTAAATTAAGTTGTAAAAGTACAGCAATGTTCTTTAAAATTTTCTTCAATGGAGCAAATACATGTTCAGTATTCAGACTGCTCAAGATCTCCAGGGAATGTCCTGGGGACATTCTCAGGACATAAAGATATTCTCAAAACATGTTTAGAAGATGTTCTGTGGAGATCTGTTCTGCTTAGATATGTATAAAACTTTTGTATGTATTAGGAAAATATTTACATTCAATATGTCAATTATGAAATTTTTTATCATTTTTGTCACATATTGTTCAATTCATTTTTACACGTATTTTTATTATATAAAAATATTTGTAATTTTATGCAACCAATACGACGAAAACTCTGCAGAAAAGAATCAGTATTTTGTCGATAAAATTTTTAAATATGCCATGAAATGGACGCATAAAGAAAGGAACATTGCAATTATTAGAAAGATGAAACGTATTCGAACAACAAAAATTTTAGTATTGTGGCAACACTGATACATGATTAAAAAATCATAGTCTGACATTTTGAAGAATTGAGGTGATACGTACACAACACTCGTCAGCGATTAACATTTACTAATCAAAGTAGCTAAGAAACAAGCAATGTAAACAAAACGATGTAAACAATAAATAATACGATTACGATACAAACAATAAATAATACGATTAAAAGTTAATTATATAGGGTGTCCCGCGTAAGACGTACGAAAAGAAAAATATAAGTAGAACACATAAAACTAAACAAAAATTGTATAGGTCATTTTTCAAACAACCACGTAAAATTTCGAGATATTAATTAAAATAGTTGAGCATATCAGAGCACGGCGACGCGGCAGGCGGGACATACGGCTTGCCGCGGCTGGCAAAGAAAATGGAAGAACGCATACACGGAGCTACTCATTTCAGTATGCCAAACGGTTCACCTCTCTAGCCTATAAGATAGGCCCGCGAGCAATCATCCATTTTTTTCGCCAGCCGCGGCGAGCTGTATGTCCCGCCTGCTGTGTCGCCGCACTCTGATATGCCCAACTATTTTAATTAATATCTCGAAATTTTATGTGGTTGTTTGAAAAATGACCTATACAATTTTTGTTCACTTTTATGTGTTCTACTTATATTTTTCTTTTTGTACGTCTTACACGGGACACCCTGTATATAACTTGGTTGATTTTTTTCTATATCTATATCAAAATTCAGATTATCATAAAAGGATACGTTAATATATACAAAAAACAAAAATATAAAAGAATGTTAAAAAAGCTATTGAGCTTTTGAGTTGCTAAAAATAATTTTAGAAGAAGAATACTTATTCTTTATTTTAAAAAACCTTATTTATACAAAGTTTGAGCTAAGTCGGAACATAGCCATTTTCGGAATAATAGCTTAGTCCCTAGTTAATTGAGTTAATCTAATCGATTGAGAAACTGAAGAAGGTTTTAAGAGAAGCTGTTAAGTTGTCCAAAAGGTAACTTAAACTCCTAGACATATAGGGGAACGTTACCTGGTTGTTTTTACTATGCTGTTCCCGGCATGCGCTGATGTCGTCGTAAAATTCTCCGGTCGGATTTGGATCGACTTGGTTCACGATCGACGGTGATTTCGTATAAACCGGCCTGGGAGGTGGAGGACAATTGTATTCCGGTAATTCATTTTCTCCGTTATCCGCTAAGGATTCTGGATGTGACATCAAATCGGATACGTCGTCATAAGTGGACATCACTTCTGTAGCTAACGACGATGGTATTGGGCTCGATGAAACTTTGCCTCGTAATCTCTTTTCCGTTTTTCCAGGCGACTCCTTTCTGCTCCAGACTTTCTTCAGGAAGGACTTCTTCTGAAGGAACTTACTCGACGTTTCTATTTGATCTTTCACGCGGTCCTTAGTGGATTTCCCCAATAAGTTCTGCAACGAAATAGCGTGAGAAGATCACATACGTGTCGTTACTTTCTTATTCAATATAATATTTATTATATAATATCACAGCGACAATTGCATCATGAAGAGAAATATTGATCTTGATGTAGACGAATCTATTTGCGGTATATTTCCGCGATTGGAATATATATCTCAAGAGTAAATAAGTTTTAATTTCTATCACCCATTTGCCTCAGAAGCAGATATATTCGTTCATTTTGCCTGGCTATTATTACGAAAGCGGACATATCTGCGTGCAGACTAACAAGGAAGATATCCCAGGTATATCTCTTCGATTTTAATGATACTTGATGGATTTTGTAAAGGAAGTTAAATTATTCGATAGATATTTTATCGAAAATTAAACATGTTTAAGAGGTGTAATTATTTCTCGAAAATCGACAAAATTTTTGTTTTTTATTATAATTACAAAATAAATAAAGGAAACCGGGACTATATAGCCCTGGGAATATAGTAGTAGTACTTTATTTTCTACTTCAGCTTTTGCAATGCCGGAAAATTTTTTGATTTATACATTATCCTTATTTTTACATTCTTCCTACACGCCTTTTTTATTCCTTTTCGCCATTTTAACCTATTTATTTCTTAAACCTACTGCATATAATGGAATACTTATAATTGGAAAATAAATAATTTATATTCCAGCTGTATAATATTTCAACAATCGATATAACAACCATATAGCATTTTAATAATTATATTCCTGTTATATAGCCGTGATATCATTTGGGTGGGACAACTAATGCATGTATGTTACATATAACGTACATGTTATATTTCGTTACATTACGACAATGTAACAGTTATATTATTGTATTTACTGGGATATTTTCAATATGTATATATATATATATATATATATATATTATATATATATATATATATATATATATATATATATATATATATATATATTATATATATATATATATATATATATATATATATATATATATATATATATTATATATATATATATATATATATATATATATATATATATATATATATATTATATAT